AAAGCCATGGTTGTCCTCTGGCTACACCCCTTCAAAGAAGGAACTAGTCCCTGCAGTTTGGGCTCAGTCCCCACAGCCCCTTCCCACTATTCTCCATCCCTCACTGTACTCCTCAGGCCAGAAAGCTGAATCCAAAGCTAATAGAAGAGCTGAACATGAACCAAGTTGTGGGTACTAAGATGGAAGTAGGGGGCTGAGCAGTGTGGCCCTGCTGAGGACCCAGCCCAAGATGGACAGGAGCCCCTCCATGACTTCTAACAACTTCCACCCACCCGTGATTGATAGTGAGCAGATGCAACACCCCCTCTTCTCCCGCGGAGGTTTTTTTGTTAGGTTTTGCTAAAGCAACCTGCAAATTAATTTAATATCCTCCTTTGGTTGGGAGCTATGAAGCTGGGCTCGAGGCTGATGATGCATGAACCATCGGTGGCAAGTATTTAATCTCTGGACAATGGATAGAGATGTTAGTGCACGCCACACTAAATTCTATTTACGCTGCCTATTAAGGGCAGTCAAGCTGAAGGGAATTGGTGCACATTACAGGCCCTAATGGGAGAGGAAGCTCCACAACAGTACATTAAAGGCGGAAAATGAATTAGGAGGGGACGGCGGAGGAGAAAGCAGGCAGGCCCAGGTCCTGTCTGGAGATAACTCTTCCTGACAGCCTTGCACACATGCCCAGCCCCACTGGTCAGATATGCCAAGGAGAGGAGCACCAGTGGTCCTCTCACAGACCTTAGCTGTGGGTACCACAGGGATGTAGGAGCTACTGTGGTTGAAGGCTCAAGAAGTGTTGGATTTATGTAAGCCCGCCAACCCAGTCTCCCTGCCCACTCCAAGCAGTTCTGTCTAAATGTCTGGAACAGTCTCAATCCCTCCAGATGGACTGATACTTCTGGTCTTTCCACAGGCAGGAAGAAGAGGGTAATGGCCATAGAGAATGGGTCTGATGGCTGTTGTGTCTGTTGCTGTCACATTACTGGGCACACTTTGGACAGTGACTATAATACAGGGCAATAGAGTTTCAGGGACTCCAGGCAAGTCACATGACATGTTTAAGCCCCAATATCCTGGACTGTAGAGTCATGATCATGGTCACATTCTTGAGGATCATGAGAGCTTAAATTTGGGCTCAGTCACCCTCCCAACCCTCCTTTCTATTTGTATTTCTGCCCTACAACATCTCATTCCTCCAGAGCCCAGCATATGGCTGTGCACAGAGAGGGTATCATCCAATGGTTGCTTGTTAATGAAAAAAACCTGCCCAAGGTCACTCAGCAGGTAAGTACCGCAGTCAGGATTAGCATCAGATCTGCCTCACCTACATCATACTTCCTTTCCCAACACCCTTTTATAAACAGGTGATTCCTGGGGCACTTGGGAAAATCTGAGCAGGCGTTATTTCCTCAAAGCCAGATAGCAGAGCCCAGGGTATGCCTGGGGTCTCTAGACTCCTGCTTTCTGCAATGTAGAGATGGTAGAGTACAATTTACAGGCTGAAGAGTGGGGGCCACAAAATGAGATGATGCCAGCAAAAGGGATTAGTGAGAGGAGGCAAGGCAAGGTGACACAGACTTCATCTAACAGGATGACAAGGTAGAATGTCTACAGCCACCCAAGCCTTCACCCCAGGCACCTGCAAGATCTCCAGAAGGATCTGGGGTACTGGAGACAGGGATAATGATAGCTTCAGGAAACTTCCCAAAGTATCAGAAATGGATAGGCAAGAGCAAGTCCTAACTCCTTAATATGTACGCATTCATTATAGTCTAGCCTGCCACATCTCTCACCACTCTATCCCAATAACACTGAATTTCTCAAAGCTTCCAGAACACACTCTGACATTTCAAATCATGCCTATTCTCTTGGTGTCCCCTCTATTTGAAATATGCTTCCCCATATCTCCTGGCCTATTTGTATTTGTCCAGTAAGACTCCACTATCTCCTATAAGAAGCCTCCCATGAACCCTGGAGGCTGAATTAGGTGCCACAGTATCCTGTGTTACAGCATTTATTGCACTACCTTGTTATAGTCAAGATACATCTTTCTAGCTCGTTCTATATTCCCAGGCACTTGGTACAGTCCAGTAAATAGCTTTTGAGCTAAACTGAAATGGCCCATTGGTTCTGGGTCTGTCGTCCTGTGCAGATTTACTATAGCCCCTGTCATGAAGATCATATTTATACAACACCATAATCAGATATAAAAGCTATGCATTATGTAGGCTATTACATACCACTATAAATAATAGGCCATACTTGTCTCAAAATGAAAGGAGTACATATTAACCATGGTTAATATAACAGTGAAACCAAAGCAGTACTTCAGGGCAACATCAAGAAAGAATAAAGAAAAATATCTCGAAGGATTTCTGAATAAATATGAAAGATTAAAAATACATATCAAACTTTCAAAATTTTGTACTATCATCTTCCATGTTCTTTCCATACTTTTGATTGATTCCTTTTTAAAAAAATCCCTTTGGGGTCCTTACACTGTGGGTTGGGGAGAGAATTCGAACTCTTGGTGTGGCCATGTGTTCACATGAGAATGTGCCTTTCAGGTCTCCAACTCCAGGGTAGCTGATCAACTGCCCCAGGGGCTGTCTCTGACTTCATCACCACATTTGCTCTCAATCCCTTCCTGACAGAGCAGAGATTCTAAGACAGGTCCATTCTCAGGAGACAGGAGACTCTTCCCATAGGTGGTTTTGGTTTGAAATCACCCCATTGGTTTTGCCAAAACTTTCTCGGAACTATACAGCATTCTAATACTTTTTTCTACTCAGCCTTCCTCCCTTGCCTCTCTCCTCCAAAGCGGTTAAATATGCATCATGCTCTAACCGCCCTTCCAGGCTCCTCCAGCACCATACCCATTTTGCCTTCACAAGTGGCTTCCCCAATAAATCTCTTGCACATTTAATTCCATCTTTGCATATACTTCTAAAAAGACCCAAGCTAATGCACTTGAGAAAACTGGACCCTAGTACAGTAACAGGGCTTGCTGAGAACCAGCCTGATTCACTGGAATTTTCAAAAGTGTAGATATTGAAGACATCACTGTAAGTGAGGGCTATGAAACAATCTCAAAGAGAGTTCTATCAAGACTTTAGAAAAGTTGACACATAATCCCTTGGTATCTGAGGAGGACTGGCTGCAGACACTGGTTAATTATCAAAACCCATAGATACTCAAGTTCCTTACATAGAATGGCCTAGTGTTTGCATATAACCTACACAATCTTCTCATATACTTTAAATCATCTCTAGATTGATACATAATAAAATGCAAATCCTATGTAAACTGTCATTACACCATATTCTTTTTTTAAAAAAAAATTAATTTTATTGGTACATTTTGGGTATACAATATAATGACATTCATCATTGGAAATTTGCACCTTTACATAATCTCTCTTGGTTCTTATTTTTTCCCCATTCCCCTGCCCTCCCTTCAACCCCTCCATCCCTCCCTATTTACAAAGACTTTGTTTCCATTTTTTTCATTTTCTCATATTAATTCCATTCCCTTCTTTCCTTTCCCCTACCCCTCCCACTTCCCCTTCCCTTTTGCCCCTTTTCTTCCCATTTCACATTATCTATTATACCTTTTAGTCCTTATTATTATACCTTTTAGTCCTTATAGTTTCTCACACTAGAGAAACTATTTGGTATTTACACATGTGTGTCCTATTTATTTCACTTAAGAGTATCGCCTCAATGTGCATCCATTTAGCAATAAATGTCTCTAATATCTCATTTTTTATGGCTGAGTAATACCCTATTTTATTTTTGAAAACACACACACACATTTTTTTACCCAGTCTCCAGTTGATGGGCAATTGGGCTGTTTCCAGGTTTTAGGTATTACAAATTCTGCTGCTATGAATATGGGTGCAGATATATCACTGTGGCATGATTCTTTTAATTCTTTGGGGACGATACCCAGCAGGGGAATAGCTGGGTCAAATGGGACTTCTAATCCTAGCTCTTTGAGGTATCTCCATACTGATTTCCACAGTGGTTGCACCAGTCTACACTCCCACCAGCAGTGGAGCAGTGTTCCTCTTTCCCCACAGCCCTGCCAGCATTTGTTATTGGTTGATTTCATGATAGCAGCCATTCTTTCTGGGGTGAGGTGGAATCTCAGCGTTATTTTCATTTGCATCTCTCAAATGACCAGTGATGTTGAACATTTTTTCATTTTTTTTTTTTTGCTATTTATACTTCTTTGCCTGAGAAATGTCTGTTCATTTCAGATGCCCATTTTTGGATTGATCTTTAAATTTGGGAGGTCTGATTTTTTAAAGTTCTTTATATATTCTAGATGGTAGACCTTTGTCTGAGGAACAGCAGGTGAAAAATTTTTCCCACATTGTGGGTTGTCTCTTTATACTGTGGGTGGTTTCTCTTGCTGTGCAGAAGCCTTTTAATAAGAAGAGATCCCACTTGTTGATTGTTTGTGCTAGTTCATGGGCAACTGAGGTTTTGTTCATAAACTCTTTTCCTACACCAATGTCTTAAAGAATTCTACCTAACCTCTCTTCCAGCCAGTTCAGAATTTCTATTTTAATATTTAGATCTTTAATCAATTTTGATTTTAGTTTAGTGTATGGTGAGAGATGTAGGTCTAGTTTTACTCTTTGTCAAGTTGAAACTCAATTTTTCCAGCACCATTTATTAAAGAGGCTATCTTTCCTCCAGTGAGGGTGTTTGGCTCCTTTGTCAAAGATGAGGTGGGTGAGTGTGTCTGGAGTTGTTTCTGCATCTTCTAATCTGTTCCACTGGTCCTCAGGTCTGTTTCTTTGCCAGTACCATGCTGTTTTTATCACAGTAGCTTTGTAGTATAGTTTCAAGTTGGGGGTTGTGATACCCCTTGCCATATTTTTAAGGAATAATAAAAAGTAGAAATTGTGCCCTTTGAGAAATATGATTGTATTTATAATAAATTTTGAGAATGGGCAAATATATAGAGATAGAAAGTAGATTAGTAGTTGCGGAGGTCTGGAGTAAAGATAAGGGGTTTGCAGAGTGGTAGCTAAGGAGTACAGAGTTCATTTTGGGGATGAAGAAAATATTCTAAATTTCATGGTGGTGATGACCACACACCTCTGTGAATATACCAAAAACCATTAAATTGTGCCTTTCCATGGGTGAATTGCATGTTGTGTGAATTATATCTCAATAAAAATCTTTTTAATACACACAGAAATATATATCTTCAGAGAGTAAGAAAAGAGATCACATAAAACAAATGCTGAATAATATAAAAACAAACATTTAGACATAAAAGAGAGATTTTAGCAATTTAAAGTCCAACAGAGTTCAAGTAAAACACTCAAAAGAAAATTCAGAATATAAATATACTCCCCAGAAAACAGAATTAAAAAGAAATGAAAAATGGAAGAGAAGAGATTAGAAAGTCAGTCAAAGATGCCCACCATCTTAATGATAGGAGTTAAAAACGATGGAGGGAGAAAGTCACCAAAATTACTGGAGAATTCCCCAGTGAAAATATGAGTTTCCATCTAAAAGGTTTATAAAAAGGATTTTTAAAAAATCCCATACTAAGCATATTATTATGAAGTGTTGGGGAAACGTTAAGACCCTGGATACAAACAGAAGGTTTATAAGTGGAGGAGGGGAGAAAGAGAGGGGAGGGAAGGTGAGGGGAGAAAAGGAGAGGAAAGAAAGAAGGAAGGAAAGAAATCAAATGAAGAATCAGGAAGCAGAAGTACTTCAGACCTCTCAACAAGTAGAAGACAGTGGCACAGTGTGTATCAGTTATTTCAGGCTGCATAACAAATTAACACAAAACAGAAGCTTGCACCAACAATAAGCATTTACGTCTCACACAGTTTCTGTGGATTAAGAATTTAGGACAGGATTTGCTGGTCAGCTCTGGCTCAGGAGTCATTCATGAGGTTATAATCAAAATGTCAGCCAGAGTTGCAGTCTTCTGAGGGTTTGACTGGGCTGGTGGGTCCTCTCTAAGATGCTGCATGCACATGGCTGGAAAGTTGGTAGTGGCTGTTGGCAAGAGGCCTCAGTTTCTCATCATACAAACCTCTCCAAAGGCTGACTAGGTGTCCTCATAGCATGACAGCAGGCTTCCCTCAGAAATGATGATCCTAAAACAGAAAGTGAGAAGCCACATGTCTTTTATGGCCATCATTGCTCTAATATCCCACTGTCAAAAGTGGTCGTCACTGTTAAATGTGAGAGGGGACTCTACAGACCAAGAAGCCAGGATTATCAGGAACTACTCTGGTGGCTGGTTACCAAAGAATTTTAAATTATAAAAAAAGAAAACAAATTTCCTGCCAACCAAACATTTAAGTGTGAGAATAAAATGATATATTCAGACCAGAGAAGTCTTTAGATTTTTTACCTCTCTAGTACCTCTTCTTAAGACACAGTGAAAGAACAAACTCCACCAAACTGAACGCGTACACCGAAAAAAGAGGATAACAAGATTCAGGGAGTTGTAATAAGGAATCCACAGTAGGATGGTGGAAGGAGAGCCCAGGAAGCCAGCTGTGTATCAGACTGAGTGGCAACCGGGCCAGATTGGAGTAAGCCACAGGCCTGGGTGGGACTTCTCCCAAAAGAAAAGAGTGATATGATAGTCGATGTGTTTTAGTGTCTTGACAGGTGATTTGGGGGACTAGCAAGGAGCAAGGAGTGAGAGGTTGAATCAATGATAAGGACACAGCCAACTATGCTTCAAAACCAAAAGAACTTTAGGGAAATTAAAAGTTGTGTGGGAAAGAAACGTGACAACAGTTAACTACCTGGATCAGTTGTGAAGCATGTTTACATAGTCATTCATAACAATGAAAATGTTAAGTATTGATCTTAAAGTTACGATATAACTACCCTGGAAGACACAGGTAGGTGAGCAGAATGTGTGGCAGGGACAGTAAGGAAAGAGAGCTAAATCCTCATCTGCTGTGATATGCTGCCTAAACTTAGAAAACAAGTACAGAGACAAACATATTTTATGGAATCACAGAGGTAAATATCAAAATCTGCTAAAAGAAAAGAAGGTAGTTGCCCCTAAGGAAAGAAAAGGGGGGGGGGACTGCTAAAGGGGTTTGTAACAAGTCTTGTAGAGCTCATGAATCTTCAGGTATATAAGATTTGAACAACAAAAAATTGAAACTAAAGAAAAAACTGAAATTGCCTTCAGAAAAATAACAGTAAACCATATCACAACTAATTGAGATGTGGAAATAGTTTGTTCATGGACATGTCCTCTCTTACAATTTTCCCCAAATTGTTTCTCATTTTCCTACTTCATCAATCAAGCTTTGAAGTTAGAAAGACTCAAAGGATATCTTGGCCTTTAACTAGCTGTGTGTGGGTTTTATTAGTCCTACCTTCTTAGCTTTGGCTTCTTTATACAGGAATACATGGAGATAGGGATAAGGACAAAGCCAGAAATCAATGTCTACATAGAAAGGAACAAATGAGATAACACATATGAAAGTGTCTAGGATACAGTACATTCTCCTTAAAACACTGGTTTTCTTTCTTTTTTCCAATGTAATTGTGAGAAATGCAGATGAAAAACAACAGAAGGAGGAAGAAGAGAGGGAATAGTGATGATGTTAGCAGTGATGAGGATTAAGGTGATAAAGACAACATATTTTACCATATTATCTCATTTAATCCTACAGAACCCCTGTGAAGCAAGTGCTATTTTATAACCATCTTACAGATGAGAAAACAAAGGCAAAATGTGGTTAAGTGAGCCATCCAAGGACACGAAAGTCATCAGAGAACCCAGACTGAACCCCAACAAACTTCAGAGCCAGGGATAGAATCACTTTATGAAATTGCCAATTTGCTATAATGTTATCTTAGGTCTATTTTGCTGTTGAAATTGCCAGCTCCAAAGATAAATGGCCACTAGGGAAATAATTAAATGATTCTTAAGCAATAAGCTGGTGAGATAAGTGAACAAATCAGAGAGACCAAGCTATACTCCAGTTAGAGTGTATCTCAGCAACTAGCCCATTATGAAATAAACCAGGCCCCATAGATATTTGAGCATAGAAAATATTCCTAGTGGAAGGAAGGGACACCTTATTCAAAGACCAGAAGGCAACTGAGCTTGGTAAAAAATAGGGCCATGGGGTCAACAGAATCTTACAAGAGGACTTTGGTTTTATCCAAAGGGAATAGAAAATCCCCGGTGAAGTTTAAGCAGGGTAGTGGCATGATCAGATCACATTTTAGAATGATCAAGCTAGGTGTTGTGTGGAGAAAAAATTATAGGACCAAGATTGGCAGCAAGTGTACCCACAAGATAGTTATCAAGGTCTTCCAGGAGAGAGAGGGTGGTGGGTTGGAGGAGGGTTGTACGGGGAGACAGCAAGAGAGAGGGTGCGTAGAGACAAGCTATCTGAGCCTTAGAGATGGAAGAGATGGCAGAAGTGAAGGGAGGGGCAGTGAAAATGAGGAAAGTGGAAAACCAAAATGGAAGTTCTGACTCAGGCCTCCGGGGACGAAGGGGTAAGCTCTCTCTGTGGGGTAAAATAAGCTCCTAGAAACTCCCTTCAAATTACATGTGGTCATTATCTTCTCATCAAGCTGGGATATTTCCATGGACAGGCCTGACTGAGAGAAACAGCCAAAGGACAAAGTGAAGAAAGAAGAAAAGAATGCACCCAATGAGGTTCCTGCCTGTGAACACCCTCCCTTCCTTCTCAGCCTCGCCACGTGTCCGTGGCGTGTTTCTTCAAGTACAGCCCCTGTTGCAGCTGCTGGCAGTTCCTGCCCATGAGCTCCAGTCCCATTTCTGGAAACAAACCTGTAGTGTTTACCAGATTTAATTAATAAAATTGCTCATCATCCCAGGAACTCACTATCTAGACATGACACTGTCTGAAATACATCAGCCCAGTGCCCAGTTGAGGTCATCTTCATTCCAGCCTGGGGTCAGCACTTGTCCCAGACCCCAAGCTCACCTCTGAGACCTCCATTTCACCTCTAGCTCGTAGCAGTTCTTGCAATTAATAGCTAATTAAACAAACAAAACAAACCTACCAGGTGGAACAACAGGAAGACATTCTCAGCTCACAAAAGCAAGTAATTATGTGATGTGGGCAGGTCTGCAAAAAATCACTTATGAGATAAATCAATGGCTCTCCACCACCTTGAGGATCCGTTCAGATGGAGGAAGGCTCCTCAAAATCAGAAAATTCATGTGAAGGTAAAATCAGGCCATTTCCTCCACAGCTAACCACAGGCAAGGATGTTCTAAAGTCTTCATCCCAGACCTGTCCTGTCATGTTGAGGGTGGAAGTAAAGTATTCACGTAAAAATATTTTTTGTGCACCTACCATGAATCAGGGATAGAGGACTGAGCAAGACTGTCACGTCTCCCACTCCAATGGGTCTTCATATTCCAGTATTTTAAAGATAAACAAGAAACAAGATATTACAGATAGTGAAGAGGGCTATGAAGGTAACTAATAGATGTGATGAGGAGGCTTGAGCTAAGTGGTGTTTTACAGGGAGGAATGACTGTCAGAGAAGTTTCTCTGAAGAGACGCCATTGAAACCGAGCCAGTCATGCCAAGAGCTGGGGGAGAGATGTACATGGCAAGAAGAAGGGCTAATCCAAAGGCCCTGAGGTGGGGACAATGTCAGCAATTCAAGGAACAAAGAGCAGACCCACATGGCTGGAGTACAGTCCATGCAGAAGAAACTGAGAAGTAGGCAAGTTTGGAGAGCTGGCAAAGATGGGATCCCTCACGGGTCTCCATAAGGGCCACATTTTTATTCTAAGTGAACTAGGGAACTGTTGGAGGGTGTCAATCAGAAGTGACATGCTAGAAATATAATGGACAGGCAGCAGACACTGAGGGCCTTTTACAACCCTCCAGGTTAACTCCTGCCCTACCACCAAAGTCCTAGCATGCCCAGGCACTGGCTTTTGTGAACCATAGCAGAGAACTTTCCCAAATGCATAATTCTCATCTATCTACACAGAACTTACTTATAAGACAGATGGAGAAACTGAGACATGATGCCCACCCCCACATGAGCTAGCTATATGAACAATCTCACTGATGCCTCACTCTGGCCCAATGAGATAGATACTGTTATCCCAATTTAAAGCACAAGGCAACTGAGGTACAAAAAAGTTAATTTTGGGGCCAGGGATTTAGCTCAGTGGTTCTGCTGCCTGCCTCGCAAGTGGCAATCCAAGTTCGATCCCCAGTACCAAAAAAAAAAGTTAATTTTCCTACAGCCACCTAGTTCTCAAGTGCTAGAGCTGGATTGCAACACAGGCAGTCTGAGCAGTATGCTTTTACCGTTATATCTGACAGCTTTCACGGTTTAAACTATTTCCCTAAGCTTGCAGGGCCCACTCAGACCTGGAACTCAAGGCTCTACATGTACTGGTCTGAGGTGAGGTTCCCACGTGCCAGTAATTCACCTCTGAATGTCATAGGCTGGTTTTGAGGGCAAAATTAGCAGTGTATGCAAAATGCCCATCATGAAGCCCAGGACTTAGCAGGAGCTTGATAGATTTTTTTGAAAGAAATGGAAGACACTACTACTTCTGTGGAAGTGAAGCCCATGCTCTCTGAAGTGAGGTGTGGGGTGGCCAGGAAGGAAGGAAACCGTTCCCAACTGAGGACCAGTAGAACACCATGTGGTAAATTTTTTCTAAATGTGAGTCAAATGAGAACTGATTTTTTTAAAAACCTTTTAAACAGAGGCTCTTTCAGTGCCTTAGAACTCTGTAGGTCAAGCACCATGCACAGCCTCAGGGTGTCTGGAACAGGGCCCTGAACAGACAGCAAGTGTCCTTCCCAGCCCTATCTAAGAAACGTTGCTGCTCCACGACTTTCGAGAGCAGTCCCTGGGAAGAAGAGTGCATAGCTTCCCCACTGTGCTCGAAATGTCCTGGCCAAGTGTGAAAAACTAAAAGTGTAAATAAGAATCAAAATGTATAATTGATATTGTGAAATAGGAAGAAAATGTCTAAAGGAATAGGGGAAGTGGGAGGGGAAGGGGGAAGGAAAGAAGGGAAAAGAAAAAATATGAGAAAAGGAAAAAATGGAAACAAAGTCTTTGTAAATAGGGAAGGGTGGAGGGGGTGAAGGGGGGG